TAATGCTGATGCTGATGCTAGTGCCGATGTTAATGCTGATGCTGTAGTTGTCAATGATGATGCTCTGTTGTCGTTGTTGTTACTATCTTCTTTAGTCACTAAAGTTTTGTGTGAAGGCTTTCCCCTCTCTTGCGATGCCCGATAGAACGTGACAGTCGGTGGAGCCCTTTGAGGATGTGAGATCGCGTATGATGAGATCAAAGGCACGCTGCTGTTGTGGATCCATGCTGAAGTCATGTGACTCTAAATCATGCGATATGGGTTTCTCGTGATGCACGGTGTTGAGTCCAACTAGATGGTAAGGGACTGTATAAGATTAGGATTGGAATTCAAAGAGGATGAAACGGCTGGTGAATACGTGAATCCATCACGCCGTGCTGTTGTTTTTTCGCTGTTCTTCGTCTGTCGTTGTTCGTCTGTTGTCGTTCTTTCGCTGTTGTTCGTCTGTTGTTGCCCGTTTGTTGTTGTTCGTTTGTTGTTGTTCGTCTGTCGTTGTTCGTCTGCTCTTGTTGTCGTTGTTGTTGTTGTTGTTGTTGTTGTTCTTGTTGGTGATGGTGCCGTTGTCGTCGTCGTTGTTGGTTTTGTTGTTGTCGTTTGTTGCTGTTCTTTCGCTGTTGTTCGTCTGTTTTGTTGTTGTTGTTCGTTTGTTGTTGTTCGTTTGTTGTTGTTCGTCTGTTGTTGCTCGTTTGTCGTTATTTGTCTGTTGTTGTTCGTTGGTTGTTAATGCTGATGCTGATGCTAGTGCCGATGTTAATGCTGATGCTGTAGTTGTCAATGATGATGCTCTGTTGTCGTTGTTGTTACTATCTTCTTTAGTCACTAAAGTTTTGTGTGAAGGCTTTCCCCTCTCTTGCGATGCCCGATAGAACGTGACAGTCGGTGGAGCCCTTTGAGGATGTGAGATCGCGTATGATGAGATCAAAGGCACGCTGCTGTTGTGGATCCATGCTGAAGTCATGTAACTCTAAATCATGCGATATGGGTTTCTCGTGATGCACGGTGTTGAGTCTAACTAGATGGTAAGGGGCTGTATAAAATTAGGATTGGAATTCAAAGAGGATGAAACGGCTGGTGAATACGTGAATCCATCACGCCGTGCTGTTGTTTTTTCGCTGTTCTTCGTCTGTCGTTGTTCGTCTGTTGTCGTTCTTTCGCTGTTGTTCGTCTGTTGTTGCCCGTTTGTTGTTGTTCGTTTGTTGTTGTTCGTCTGTCGTTGTTCGTCTGCTCTTGTTGTCGTTGTTGTTGTTGTTGTTGTTGTTCTTGTTGGTGATGGTGCCGTTGTCGTCGTCGTTGTTGGTTTTGTTGTTGTTCGTTTGTTGCTGTTCTTTCGCTGTTGTTCGTCTGTTGTTGTTCGTTTGTTGTTGTTCGTTTGTTGTTGTTCGTCTGTTGTTGCTCGTTTGTCGTTATTTGTCTGTTGTTGTTCGTTGGTTGTTAATGCTGATGCTGATGCTA